GAAGAGAAGACACATATAAAGAGAGCCTGAGCAGAGTAGCACCATCACGTCACTCACTAGTCAACTGCTACTACGTACTAGCTAGATGTGGATGGATTAATGCATTGCATTGCATTGCATGTCCTTCTATTCTACCTAACTTCAACCTTCAGCTTCAGCTTGCTCTCTCTATCAGTCGCTGCTGCCCGCAGGCAGAGATGAGTTTTTATGTTTTGATGCGCCATAGGTTTTATTACTAGGTACGTAGCTAGCTGATCCCCACAGATGAGTGAAGACTGAAGAGAAGAGAAGAGAAGAAAAGAGAAGAGAGGACAGGATCTATCTGCGCAGCTCGCCAAAGATCTTCCTTCCCCACTATGTGCGATAACTCTCTGCTGTTGCTATCCACTGACTCACCCTCCTCTCAATCATTTAATAATAGTTGTGCTTCATGGTGCTGTATACTTATATATGATGGATGTCATCATTATTATGATTATTCACTGCATGGTTGTGACTTGTGACCTCGATTAAATGTCAGTCTGTTGAACCTGATAAAATCCGTTATGAATTCTGTTGGAATATCATTATATGACCGGCACGACCGATATTCGTCCTCCAAACAAAATGTTGTCCTTTCAGTGAATTTAATTAACGAAAAATAAAACAAATGAATTTGAAAGTTAAATGTTGATATTAATTGTTGAATTTTATAATAAACATTTGAGTATTACGTTAAATGTTTAATTTAAATATGAGTAATCTTTGTTCACTTATTCATGTATTTTATTTAAATATGAATATAGATTGTAATTAGATTGTATTTTAATATGTTTTATATAAGTTTAAATTCATTATATGTTAATGATTTTTCATGTTTAATTTCTACATAGTTTGTTAGAACGACATCAAACGTCTGTACTCTGTACTCCTGTCAAACCATATCACTTACTGAATCGGCGTAACAGTATAAACCGGTTTGACAACCTTGCTACTACTACGCCCAACTGTCAGATGCTCTTTGATTCTATCACCCGCAAATATAAATTGGGGATGACAATCAAACACCGAGAATCTCCTGTTGATTGGGTATGTGTCGAGTATGAGTAAAACCTGTAAAAAGTTTGATGGGATGAGATGAGACAAGTTTGATTTAGAATTCTATGTATTGATAATGGATGTATATATGTGATTTCATTTATCTAGTGTTATAATTTAACATTTACATGTTGAATTTTATGCATAGATTTAATATTGGATATAATTTGTGAGTATTAACATGATTATCGAAAACCGCAGGTATGAGGATGAATCGATGAGGTTGCAAAATACACTCACATAAACTCGAGATGGATATTAATTTGAATGAAACTAAAGATAAGAATGATTTAGTTGAAATAAGCTTAACCTGCTCAGTGCTCATTGCTATCCCAGTCTCCCTACAAATACAATAGTATAGAGCATATACAGGACGTAGCTGTTGTAAGTTGTATGTTGTAACTCTTCCTTTTTTTCTTTATTTCACATTCTCCCAACAGAACAGATGACCCGACCCGATCTCCCTCCTTCCCTCCGCTTTGCCTAGAGCCCCACAAGTCGAGTAGCTGCTTAAACTCACCCGTCATTTTCATTTGTTGAATTGGTTCTCTCCCTTGCAATATTCATCCTTCCTAGCCAGCTACACCATGTCAGGATTTGTGTTATATTCAATCAGTATTTATATGATAGGCTTTGCCACGTGTTAATTACGACATTGTCATGTTTGTTTGTTGAGATGTAATTCTTTTTATGATGAATAATATTTGATGATAGCACTTTATTAATATTTTTTTATTTGACAAATCCAAAATCGGACCATTATGTTGGACGGTCAAGACCATTAAATACTGGTCAACCCGCCATGTCTGTGTCTGATTAGCATATTTTTATTTAAACTATTCATATTTTCACAAAATAAAAAAAATTCTATTTAGTTTGAATAATTTAAAAAATTAAAATACAAATATGTTCATCGGATCCCTTTCAAAAAAAATAATAATGAAAAGGACCCAATAAACATATTTTTATTTTTCATTCTAGTCAAACTAAACAGAAAAATTGTTATTTTTTTTGGGAAATATGAATATTTAAGTCAAAATATACTGACTTAGCAAGTTGACCGTTAGTCAACGATCTTGATAGTCCAACATAGTGGCCAACTTTAGAATTTAGCTAATTAAGTTATGGTTAGTTCAGGTCATGATATTATATATTGAAAAAAATTGAACAATATGTTAAAGATATGAAAATTTGAGGCCAGACAAAAATATTAATTTATCACAAAATGGTATAAATAAAAATCAATATATAATCATAAATATTAATAATTATATTATAATAAAAATAATTATATTATAATAAAATAATTATTCTATAATAATGCTAAAATAATAATTAATTAAAACACTAATAATCATTTGTCGAGCGACCTCGAAATTCGTAACTGGTCATCCAAGGGGGGGTCTCGTGCCTAACTTTAAATTGAATATGATCAAACTTAGTCAAACACGTTCAAATCTGTAAGTTTTAACTATTTAGTCAAATAAACTGAGTCAACTAGACCAGTCATCTCTATCTTTTCCACAAATGCTTCTTATCTTATCTATAATTTTCAATGCAAATTCGAGTCAACCAAGAGATATCGATTTGACTAGAAGAACATTGACAAACTTGCTATCGAAGTCAAACGGTCAACCCCGAACAACATCTACATTAATAATAGGTACAAGAAAAAGTTAATAATACTAATTATTATGTAATTATAATATAATCAAAAAAATTCATAATTTTCTCCCTCTCCCTTCCTTCCTAATCTGCCGTTTCAGTCTTGTGCTAGAAGGCAGCTTACTGCGTAGCAACTTCGAGCCTTTTGTTTGAAGCCTTCCAGATATCCAATATTTCATCAAATGCCTTGACTTTGTAGACAAACATACCTAATTTCATGTGGTAGAGACCCCTAGCTCAAATCTCATCCATGCTTCTCGAATTGAGCTCCAAAGTAGGCTTTACAAATACTTTCCCAGACTTAGCCATTTTCAGGAAGTTTTCCAGTTTTGGCATAGCCTTTTGATCAGGTTCAAAAATGGTCTTCTGGACTTCCCATCAAGCTCCCAAGCACTTCAATGTCTAGAGGGACACTCCAGCTTCGAAACAAGCCATTAATCTTAAATTTCCATCAAGCCAATGGTAAGATATGAATTTCCAAAGTAGACACAATGAAACTGTTTTTACATTGAAACAACATATTAGATCGACCTAATCCTAACTGAGATCGACCGAAAATTGGAAGTTAAGGTGACATACATGTCACCATAGGCACACCATCAAATTTAAGTAACTATTTTGGATAGTATATCCACCAGGAAGGTTTGCAAGCTGATTAAAATTGTTATTTTCTATGCGTGCTTTATACAAATTCTTAGTACTGAAGCACATACCAATAATTTGGGGGGAGATGGATGGATGGATGGAGTGGGGGATGGGATGGATGGATGCAGGATGTCGGACTTAATTTCGGTGAGGTGGGGAGGTGAGTAACTAACAATGGATGTTCTACTTAACGACGACACTGTTGGACTACTGAATACTGATTGCATATAAATTTTATTCGCATCAAACGCTACTGCTACTCTGTCCTCTTCTTTTCTCTCTGAAATTTCAAACTCTAGATATGGTTTTCCAGATGCATTCTTCATTGAAGATGTCTTCTCTGCCTCCTTAGTTTCCCTAATGGAAATGATTGCAAATAAGGGCTTCTCCTCCTCGAAGGATCCCATCATGAGTAAAAGGAGATTAATCCAAGAAGACAAAGCTACCTCTCATCAACCGCTCTACAGAGTTAATGCTCATCACCATCAATTTTTGAAGGGGAAGGAGATACTCCCCAACTACCTGTCATGCATTTTCTCCTTCTATTCAATGCTATATACCTTAGATACATTAATCCCCTTCAACGTGTCAGTCTGCAAAGCCGAAAGTAAAAATCCTAGTCTCTTCAAACCTCCGAAATCAAAATCACAATCTTACCTCTGCTGCAGAACCCTTGAGCCACAAAAAGAGTTAATGAGAAAGGGCCATCAAATCTCACCTAATGAGCTCTTATCTTCAATGCATGAACCAGAGAAGCCACTTATAAATCTCATTCTCAAACAACCCACACAACCCAAAAAACCTCCTCAATATCTCTTTTTCCTTCTGAAACTACTTCCGCCAAATAGCCAGATCTGTACCCATCTCGCTCCCACCAACCAAATGGAAAATGCAAGGATGAATCATATTTCAAGTCAAGAAGTTAGCTAGGAGGATGAAGATTTTAAAGCTGTTTTCTCTGAAGAAACGCCTCAACATCTTGAAGAACCAAAATTGAGGCTGGTGGGCAAAATATTCTGCGAAAGGGAGATCACCAAAAGAGCCATCATAGGGATGATTAATGGAGCCTGGTCACACTTTGTGAACCAACGATTGAGGCGCCCATAGCTAGAAACATTTTTATCTTCATTTTCAATCATAAGGAAGAAATGGATCGGGCTTGGGAAGGCAGACCATGACAGGTATCTGGCAACATGCTCCAGCTCAAGCAATGGGATCAAGTTGTGCGTCCTCAAAACATTGATTTTAGCCTGGAGGACTTCTAGATCCAAGTGCATGGTATCCCAGACCACAAGAGGACTATCCCAAATGTGGAAGCAGCAGTGGCAATGTTCAAGACAATCCATAATATTGATCTGAGGGGTCTGAACCCAGATCGATATATGGAGTTCATAAGGGTTTTTATCCAGACTTATCTCAATCGACCTCTCCCTCCAGGCTCTTATTGTTCTGCAGTGGGGGTAAGGGAATGGCTTAGTTTTAGATACGAAAAGTTGTATGTGTTCTGCTATTATTGTGGAAGACACGGCCACTGTAAGAGTAAGTGTCCAAGAAGGAGGGCTGATATGGAGGCACACATTCCTGGCCCTCCTGAAGGAAGATTTACTCCTTGGATGAAAGCAGGGACAAGGGCGAATCGGCCACCACCTCCTCCTAGAGGACGCATTCTCCATCAGTCACCGGGAGATGCAGGGTCAAGTTCAGACTCTCCTGGCTTCCTCCAGAACCAACTATGGATTTCCGGCGGGGTTTCGCCGGCGACGGGTTCCTATAATCCGGCATATCCGGCAACCCCTTCAATACAGGTGACAGAAGAGACGATTGGGCACGTGCTACGAGGCCCTCCAGGCTTTACCCTCCATCCTTTTCTAGCGAGATTCTCAAGCCGAGGGCTGTTGTGGAGCACCTCCCTCAACGGCTACAAACCCCACATATGTGTCAAAATATGCAGATGTATGGAGCCATTCCGATGTACTCTCCTCACAAGAATTTTCAGGCTGCTGCATCCTCAAGTGCGAGAAATCTCAACAGATCCACTCTGAGTTACCCAACCACAATGGATAGCCCACCCAACAAAAGGTTTCACAGTTGGTGATGGAACTCAACTACAAAATGGATCTGAATAAGAAGCCTGCTGAAATTGAAGATCATTATGCGGCCCAGAGGGGTGAAGAAGGTCAAGTAGAATTCAAGAAAAGAAAACATGGCCAGCCCTTGGACTTTGGGGGACCATATTTCTCTCTTGGGGAAGGAATTAAAGATCAGAGGAATGCAAGGATTAAAGTGAAGGGAAGGAAATCACAGTATCTGCCGGAAAGAGCAAAGTAGAGGAAGAACCTCAACAGCAATAGGGGAAGAAGTCTGGGAAGGAATCTGAAGAGCCGGTGGCCGGCTATAAGCCACCTAATGAAGAATGAGTTTCTTGGTGTGGAACTGTCAGGGAATCGGCCAATCCCGGACAGAGAATCATCTGAAAAGGATGGTGAGGAAACATAGGCCTTCTCTGGTTTTTCTTATGGAAACTAAGAATGACAGAGCAACTTTGGAAGAAATTAGGATCGCCAAAAATTTTCAAAACAAGGAGTATGTCAATCCGTATGGGGACAACTGGAGGCCTTGACTTTGGTGGACAGCAGGATTCTTGCTCAAAATTTTGGATTGCGGAAGAAAGTTCTTTTATGTTTTTATCAATTACGGGTGTGGTTTTTTTATGTCTTTTGTTCATGCCCCATCTATCTCTAGTGAGAGAAGGGATTTTTGGGAGATGCTTTCATGTAAGTGATCCGAGTGTCCCATGGGTTGTCATTGGGCATCCCATCAGCTGTTGCAATTTCAAATATAAGGTGGTGTCAAAGATTATGTCCTCCAGGATCAAGCCTTTTATGCCCGACTTGGTGTCTGAGATGCAAGCTGCCTTTACTGGAGGAAGGGTGATCCAAGATAACATTGTCATTGTGCATGAAGTTCTTCACCATCTCAAGAATCGTCGAATGGGAAGTCGTTATGACATGATGCTGAAAATGGATATGCGGAAGGCTTATGACTTGGTTGATTGGAATTGCTTGGAGGAGCTTCTCAAGGCTTATGGTTTTAGCAATGCTTGGTGCGGGTGGGTGAGAGAATGCATCAGAACTGTGCTCTTCTCTATTCTCCTCAATGGTGGACCAACGGAGTTCTTTTCTCCTTCTCGTGGCATCCGTCAGGGAGATCCACTTTCTCCCTTCCTTTTCATCCTTATGTCAAATGCATTGTCCTTTTTAACTGAGAAAGGACTTCAACTTATTTCCATTCATGGTCTTAAGATGAAGCCTTACTGCCCTCGTCTGTCTCATTGTTTGTTTGCAGACGACACTGTGATTTTTGGGAAGGCTTCAGGATAGGAGGAATTGGCAATCATGGAGATTATCAACGCCTACAAATCGATTTCCGGTCAAGAGGTCAATTTGGAGAAATCGTCTATTTTCTTCAGCAAGAATACCCCGACCCATGTGAGACTTTCCATCACTTCACAGCTTAACTTCTCATCCACTATACATCATGACAAATACCTTGGAGTCCCAACCGAGTGGGGGTGTTCGAGAAAAGAGACCTTTGGTTTCTTAATTGAGCGAATGGAGAACAAAGCCAGTTCATGGAAGAGCATTACACTTTCTCATGGGGGGAAAGAGACTTTGCTCAAACTATCATTCAAGCCGTACCGACCTTCATTATGAGTTTTTTCCTCCTTCCGGCTTGCCTCACCAAAAAGATGGACTCTCTACTGCATCGCTTCTTCTGGTCAGGATCGTTTAAAAAAAGATCAATTCCATGGAGGAAAGGAGAAGTACTCACGGACCCGAAAGCGAATGGTGGACTGGGTTTCTGGAATTTTCGATTATTCAACCTCTCCCTCCTAGCAAAACAAGGATGGAGACTTCTCAATGAGCCAAACTCTCTGTGGGCGAGAGTCCTATGTGGCCTCTACTTCCCAAATGGCACTTTCCCATCAGCACGCAAAGGGAGCTCACCGTCATGGATTTGGGCGAGTTTGTGGGAAGCACGTAAAGCTATGGAGATTGGGACACTCAGAGTTATCGGATCAGGTGATGATACTTGGTCTCATCGAGATCCTTGGGTTCACTCTCTCCACCATCACAAGATCTCTTCCCATTTGGATCCACCTTCTAGAGTGAGTAACTGGATGAACGAAGATCGGAAAAGTTGGAACACTAATCTCATTCAGCGACACTGTACAACTGAGGAGGCGGATGCTATTTCCCGGATTCATATTGGTCCAGCAGGGAGTAAAGATAAATGGGTCTGGAAATTCACCACTTATGGCGCATTCTCTATTCGATCAGCTTACCATGGGCTTCGTAAGAACCAGAGGGATCAGAATCTCCCAGGACCAGGGACTCATGATCTCAACATTCCGGCTTCTGATGACTGCTGGAATTGGCTCTGGTCTCTTAATCTGCCCCCAAAAATACGTTTCTTTCTATGGAGATGTATCAGGAATGCGCTGGCTACTAAGCTCAATCTTCATCGGCGCCGCTGCTCACCCAATCCTAAGTGCCAACTTTGTAACGCTGAGGTTGAAACTTCTGTTTACTGCTTGTTCCTCTGCCCTCATGCTTCTGCAACTTGGGCAAGAGTAGCACCCCTTCTCTCTCAGTCTCAGAATCTTTCCCAATGGTTCTTCTCTTTGAGGGAATCAGAGTCCCCGGATTCTCTCCGTCGAAAGATCTATTGTCTCTGGAATATCTGGAAAGCACGCAATGAGTTTATTTTCAGAGTCACTGTGTTGTCCCCCACATTGACCTCTATTTGTGCGTTTCGAGATGCGGCCGAGCCCCACTATGCTGCTGTTCTTCCGCGACCTCCTCTAACCCCCAAGACTTTCCTTCTCATTCATGTCCACTGCCAGTTCTCCATCACAAGAGGATTCACTGTGATGGTTCTTTTGATCACGGATCTCAAGAGGCGGCTATCGGATTGGTTATTACTATCTCTAACGGACATATTTGCGATGGAAGGGCGAGAAAGGTGATTTGTTCTTCCCCAATTGAAGCTGAGGCTTGTGCAATCTTAGAAGCGTGTCGTCTGGCTGCAGAAGACACTTGTCCTGCTACGATCCTCTCTGACAACAAGGTTCTGGTTGACGCTATTAATGGAGACCCTTCTTGTTGCCGTTGGCGATGCTACGCTTTGCTGGCTCACATTAAGGATTTTTTTACATCAGACCTCTTGGGTCAATGTGCTTTTCACTAATAGACGGAACAACAAAAATGCCGACTGGGTGGCTCGTAATTGACGTCTTGATTCTCTTCACCCTGAGTAGATGTCTATTCTGACTATTGTATATGAAATGATGTAACTCTTGACTTGCTGTAATGGTGCCTCAATTGTGGGCTGAATGAATTAATGTTTCTTAAAAAAAAACGCTACTGCTAATCTGCTACCGTGTAGGATTTTGTGATGCAATCCTAGATTTTATTACTAATCATCTGCTATTTTCTTTTACTAATTAAAAAAACATGTGCCCCTAGTAAGGTTGAGCATTTGTTCATCTCTTTGTGATATACTGTTGATGATTGATTTCAAATTCTAAATTAGGAAGAGGTTGATTAACTTTTTCACGTCTCAGTAAGATAAATAAAAGTTAGAAAAAGGCTAGAATATGTATATTTTAGTATAGTTACAATCATCACCGTCTTGGCAGTGAAATTCTCCTCCCCATTTTTGTTCATTTGGAAGTTCTATATGGAATCTTAAATATCTCTCAATCATGGAGTTAGGTTGGTATTTTTTTCATGAATGAAGGGGTAAGGAATGGCGAGGTCACACTACATATCCTTTTATACGGATTACAACTTTAGCTCTTTTTGAAATTATTTAGGGGTTTCGGGTGACTTTACATAAGAGTTTCATGATAGTGGTGATCTTGATGGCCCTTGACAATCCTTTCTTTGTTTAGAGTGTTTTTGCAAATCTTCCTATTGACTTCCTTTCTTTGTCTAGATTCACTGCCTCAGTGCTTGTAAGGTGATAAAAAATTTAGATTAATTTTTTCTTTCCACGGATTTTTATGCGAAACTACTCCATCTTGTTCGATGGGGTATTGTGAAGACTCTAATGCATAGAGGTAGTTTAAGTCCAGAATCAGTTGTGATAGGTTGTATAATAGATCTTGTACTATTCCCTTATAGCTTATGGGCCTTGGAGAAGGACCATGGATGAGTATCTACAAGGGAAATTACTTGGAGGTTTGGGATGGAGAGTGAGGTTTGGTGGAAAAAGCTAATGGTTGCCAAATGCGGGGATCGTATCACATAATTTAAAATATGTGACGATGTTATTTTGTCACAAAGTATTTATATTAATGTAGATCTTTGTTATTTTAGTTATTTCACATGTGTGTAGGAAATAAGCAAAAGGCTTTGTAGCGATTTTTTAATGTTAAGATAATGGAGTTGTCAAAATATTTAGTGCATCGTTACAAAAACAATGTTGTCAAAATGAATCATTGGTTGCTCAAACCAATAACATAAGAAAATCTACGGATTTAGTAATAATGATCTTCGATCCAAATTTAAGAGATCAAAAGTTTCAAATGTGTAAAATTATCATCTCGATGTCAAAATGAGAGCTAACCAAACTTAGTAGTTTAAGAAAAAGGCCAACAAAATTAAGAACATGCATAACATTCATTCATCATAAAAAAATTCCTAAGATTAAATTAATGGTGAATTCTCCGACCGAGGGAAAATGGAGGTAGTGGTAGTAAATGCCAGAGCGATGAACGAATAACCAGAGATGCGTCCATCGATGAGTATGGAAAGGAGAGGTAAGTCGCTTGCAGTAACGAATGAGGAGACGGGGTAACATAAGATATCGTATACAGAATTTTCTTGAAAACAAACCTCACACCCCCGTACTGAAGCGAGTTTATATATGATGAGTCAAAAGTGGAAGATGAAAAAGTTGATCCAGACTGCCCAACTATTAGAATAAAGAAGAGCAATAATGAGAGATTCAACTGCATTGGAGTAGAGCGATTACG